CCCACATGTGAATTATCAAAACAGCCACAGAAAATTTTCTTAGCATTCTTGGCTCATGTAACAATTTTACAGACCAGAAGTCAAGTCACTTGGTTGGAAGAGAGGGGCAATGCATCCTTATGGCTGCTTGAGGTAAACCCTATTTTATTTTCAGATCGAGAAATGTAGACCGCCTCTGTGGTCTAGTGGTTAGAATTCCTGGCTACAGATCCAGAGGTCTGGGTTCGATTCCCGGCGCTACCAGATTTTCTGAGAAGTATTGGGTCTGGAACAGGGTCCACTCAGACTCGTGATAATTGAGGAGCTATTTCAAGGAAATAGCGGCTCTGGTCTAGAAAACCGCGCCGGCCACGCGACACCCTCTATCCACTAAAATTGGCAGTTACTTTGCCGGTAAGTGGTGGTCACTTGGTTGGTATAGTTCGCTTGCGGACTAGAACCACAGAGTTTGTTTGTTTTCGTTTTTTGATTGAGAAATGTATATTTGGTGTTTGACTATGGCTGACAAAAAATAATAAGCGTGGCTAGTGTCATGGGGCTAACTGATTGGCTGCTGGTAATTAGCCCTCTTAGCATGATATTCCTGACATGATTGGCTACACCGGAAAGATTAAAGATACTTTCGTAGAATGAATAGCAACTTCTAGGTTCTTGTAAAATGTTCTCTGAGGGGTTATCACAGGCTATCCCATTTATCATAAACACTTACTGTTGCTGAGAGAATATATCACATGATGCTGGCTTCCACAAAGTTGTCTCATTTGAATGCTAGTCTGAATGTTTCTTATGCCTCAAGTGAAACATCCTTGTATATACAGTGTGTCCAGGTTCTGTTAGGACTGTGTTCATTAAAAATACAAGACGTGAATTATTTTCAAAATTTCACTCTTTTTATTCAAAATAGTCTCCTTCTGAATCAATACATAGCTGGAATCGATTGAAAAGTTTTCGAAAACAGTCACTGTACTCTTGTGGAATCACATTTAAAACTGCGATACATTCCCTTTGGATGTCCTGGATGGTGTCGTGACGGTCTCCTTTCAAATCTGGCAAATACGGAGGATAATCAAGGACTGTGATCCCTTTTCTGGCCATAAAATCACGCAAAATCTTTGATTTGTGGGGTGGGGCACTGTCGTGGAGGAGCGACCAGGAACCTTGCTCTTGATATTCGTGTCGAATTCGAAGAATTCTCGCCCACAAATGATTGAGGACTCCAAGATAATAATCAGAATTCACTGTTTGACCTTCTGGCAGAAATTCCTTGTGAATGATTCCTTTGGAATCGAAGAAAAGGGTTAGCAGTGTATTTACTCGACTCTTTTGCATGTGCACTTTCTTTGGTTTTGGCTTCTTTGGGCTCAACCATGCTGCACTCTGCTGCTTTGTGAGGCTCATATTGAAAACACCATGTCTCGTCACCAGTTAACAATCGATTTTGTAAATTTTGTATCACTTTGGTCCGACCGTAACATGTCTTTGCAGTGTTCCACTCTGGCATGTTTTTCATCACCTGATAGTGCGTGTGGTACAAACCGCTCACAGACCTTCTGTTTGCCCAAATCCTTGGTCAAAATTTGATGCACAGTACTTTTTGGTATTCTGAAAAGCTCCTTGATGAGTCTTGCAGAAACACATCTGTCTGATGCAAGGACTTCGGTCACTTTTTTCACATTTTCTTCAGTGCAACTTGTTCTCTGCTTTGATGCATGTGGAGCGTCTTCAATGTCCTCCCTGCTGTCACGAAATACAGCATACCATTGAAAAATGTTCAAGCGACTCAGTCACTACCGTGCACACTTTTCATCATTTTGTTCGCTTCTCCGGCTGTTTTGCCCAACTTCAAACAAAATTTGATGTTGGCTCTCTGTTCAACTGCCATTTTCCAACAAGCGTCAGAACAGTACTGTTACATTCAAGGTCAGAACACATGCAGTGTTCTTGTGCTTTGGAATTATAGACAGCCAGAGCTGAAACTTCAAGAATCTTAAATGCCACAACTCGCTGACAGATGGCATTGCAGGGCAAAGTTTAAAAAAATGAGTCCTAACGGATCCTGGACACACCGTGTACCTGTTCTG